AATATCATTTTTCAACATAAATGATTGTGGTTTTTAGCAAGAAGTCGAAAATATCACTTTTTACCAAAAATGACAAAAATATTCACCAAAATTAGAGAATTAAAGATATCATTACAAAATGAACAAATCTGAGAGAGATCCACATGTAGTACATATATATGTGATATCAAAGCAATTGGACTTGCAGTTTTTAACAAGAAGTTGAAAATATCACTTTTTACCAAAAATGACAAAAATATTCATCAAAATTAGAGAATTGAAGATATCATCATGAAATGAAGAAATCTGAGAGAGGTCTACCCAAGGTACATATACACCAAGTATCAAAGCATTCAGGCTTGTAATTTTCAAGAAGAAGTCAAAAAAGTAAAACATTGACACGGACAACGGACGACAGATGCCAGACAATCACTCATATGATAAGCTCCGCTCGACAAAGTCGACAGCGGAGCTAAAAAGTGAAACATTGACACGGACGACGAACAATCACTCATATGATAAGCTCCGGAGCTAAAAATTCACCAGAGCACATCAAGGTAATATGATTTCATATTTATATTTATGTTGTGGATAACGGTGCAACATTTAATTTTTGCTGCTTGGACAGAAATTCATGATAGTACTTGTGATCTCCAGTGAAATTTTGCAATTTCCAGTGACTCACAAATCCACAACAATCATTTTTTTGTGAAATCAAAACAATTGACAGAATACAATATTTAAATACCTGCTATGAATTCCATGACAATATAGACAGGTTGTCTTTCTGTACATACACCAACCAGTTTCACAATATTTTTATGATCATACTGCTTCAATATCCTGGCTTCCATTAGAAATTTTTGTCTGATTATTGGATCTACATTTTCCTTACACGTCTTGACAGCGACCGGTGTTCTGTCTTTCTTCAGATACCCTTTCATAACATCACCAAAATTACCCTGGGTAATTAACATAATATCATTGCATAAACCAATCAATGTAACATTGTTACAGAGTCCAGAGCTCAATCATGATAAATCGTCTTATCATACAAACAACCAGTGTAGGAATGTTTGTTTCTTTGTGGTTGTTTGAATGAATTTTTCTTATGCAGGGAATGAGTTTTTATGAAGGAGGCAATCACCAATGTTCTGTTGTGGTTGTCTGGTAGAGTAAACTTCACACATATCAACAGAGACTGGAGATGGAGCAGCCTTCTCTCTTTTTATAGAACTCTTAATACGTTTATGTTCCAGTTTTACACAACAAACTAAGTATTTTGGACTCCACTATGATTAAGTTTGCAAAAATATTAAGAAAATGGCTACCAGTTGGTCATCTTGGATGGGTTATAATATAGATCAACTACCAATGATGTGCAATACAATCCTCTCAACAAATTTAGACTTAATTGAACAGTGAGAATTAGAATATGAGAAGCAGAATTAGGTAGAATGTTGAGCAAACAAACTGGCTGCCAGTTGACCATCATGGATCAACTTTCAACGATGTGCTTGAAAACAATGGTCTTGTACCAAAATTACCGGTATAGTACAGTACAGTTATAACTGAACTTCCAATCTGGCTATTCCCTTTTCATAAAATTTACAATTTTTAAAGTGAGTATTATTGTTCAACGTATTCTTTGATATATATTATAAGTTTAAACAAAATTGGTCTGTGCAATTTTTTCAAGCTATTTTTTTAGTCAAATGTGGCTGCCAGTAGTAATATAGATACTTGCCTTTCCAAGGAACTCTGCTATTTCAATATCATCGTGTGTCAAGTCCCAGTGTCTCTGAATAAAGCTTAGGAGAATAGCACCAGATAATTTAGTAACAGGTTTATGGGTTTTCATTTGATATTCTATCAATTCGCTCACAGTTCCGTAGTTATCACCTTCAAGTCTGAACTGTCCCTGCAAATAAATATAACATACAAAGGTTAAAGGGCGATGTTCGTCGTGCCGCGTCCTGTTCGATATGGGACTCATAGCGACGTACACAACGCGTGTAAAATAAATTGTTTATTTACATAAAATTCGATCACGCGCTGCACGGCGACCACCGTGCTTTAATCATATTAATTAAAGAGTTATATGCCATAATTTTGACTTTTTATGAATGTACTCCAATTCAAGTTTATACTACCAGGAAATTTTTCACATCTTTAAGGCTGAACAATGTGTTTGGCATAATTGATGTGCACAGGTGAATTTTATTTTTACAATAAAATTTTCATAAATTTATAATTTGTCATAAATACATTTTTATAAAATTCTAAACCCCCCCCCCCCCCAAAGAAAAAAACAAAACAAGCTGTAACGAGCATGTTTTTCACTGGCATGAGATAGGAATGTTTTGTTTGTCTACAAAATTGCATTTGATTATTTTAAAATATACCCTAATTAATTAATTTTACCACCAACACACTTTTGTTTTTTGCTTCTGTATTTGCATTTGCTTCATTTGTGGTAATACAGCCACAGAATACACCGCATCACTTGTGAAAAAAACTCCACAAGCATAAGGATGCGGCATGGCATTTTGTCATATTCATTATTTTTTCGAGAGATAAATGTCAGCAAGACGGTGACAATTTCACAGGGGTCTTAAAGGTTCTTATGGAGACCCAGACAGCAACACTTTTAGCTAAGTAGCTAAGTAGCTAAGTTGCTGACTGTAGGTGCGTCTCAAAATTATTACGTGATTAGAACTGGTTAGAGCAAATCATTTTTATGGTGTGATGAAGCTAAATATGTACAGTATACATCAAACGGGTAACTTTCAAATTATTGGAATGAAAACAACGATCCAGTGACAGAAATATCATCACAAAACTATAGCTACATTATGCTAAGCAAGACCAGCTTGCTCCAATCATATAGCGATCTTAAAATGGGCATGACAAACCAGTCAGCAGCTCAGCTGGCAATGCTGCCATCTGAAGAAATATATATGGTAGTGACTGTAAATCATCAACTTTGAAAAATTAAACATCGAGTCAATGTGATTGACTCGATGTCACCTTCAACACAGTCAAAGTGAAGACAGTAGTGTCTTACCTCAGCGTTTTTTTGTATTGGGAAATGTTTATGTTTTCCTTCCCATTTTACAGATAAAACAATCTGTCCCGAATCATCTCCTTTCTGTCGTACTAAGAATTGTCCGTCTTTTTCCAATAGTGTGACAGCTTCTGGTCTTGGAATACACCCATGATACCAGTCCTCATCAGTCAAGGATTTCTGCATAGCAATCTAATAATGGGACAATAACAGTGAATGAGTTGCTTGTTCACCTCTTATTAATGTTTGTAATCTTCCACAAAATAGTCCTGTTCTGGTTTTGTTTGACACAACAATAGGTGATTTTCTGTTCACTGCAAGATCATGCATAATGCGTGAAAGGCACAGACCGAACATCAGGTGCAAAAATTGAATTTTGTGATTTTGAGTCTGAATTTTTTTCATAGTTCAATAACGAAATGTTGGGTGTCCAGACAGCGATATGTCGTTGAGAAACACTTCACCATCAAATGTGTAGAGTGCATTATTAAGTATGAAAATATCAAAAAAATAGTTTCACATTTATCAAATAATGCTTTGTCTTGTTTTTATGTTCAATATCATGCATAACACAGGATCCAGCAGTGAACAGGAAATGGTCTATTAGAATTTACCAAAAAGTACCAAAAAATGTATTAAATTCACTCTATGTTGAAGAGGAAAAAAAAAAATTTCAGGGTTTTATCATTATTCAAGGTGTTATTTTTAGCATAACTATTATATTGTATAGACAGATAACAAACTTAAAATAAATGGCAACGGTCATTATATCTAAGCAAAATTTGGCAAGAGAAATATTAGCCAATGTGTTTCTCAATTAATACCATAAACTCTATGAATATCAAAGCTCACAAAGAGTGCTGCAATATATTCCGGGCCCAAAAAAATACTAGCCAAATTTTAAAAGCAGGGAAACACTGCAATGTTATACATGTATACTTAATATGTTCATAACATATTAGTTGACACATCTTAGAGAGCATATTAACTTCTGCTTCTCATTATCAGCAATTTAAATGTCTTCATGTAGTTCATTTATTTCCATGTCTAAACATTTCAACCAAATTTCAGCTTTATATCTTGAAAATTGCACTTGATTGACATTTCATAGAGATTGATGGAATTCACAAATTTGCAGATGATCAGATCAAAAATGTTTGAGTTATTGTAACTACAAGAAGACAATTTTAGGTGAAATTTAATGAACATATTGGAAAATGCAAGTCAAATTTTATGATGGAATTCAACAACGACAACAGCAATGAGATGAGACATTTTCCCTCTTATACAATGCCATTTATCTACAATGATGCAGACAAAGTAGATGCAGTAAACTTGTGACAAAATTTTACAAAAAACAACCGGTTTTTATTTCATTCTTGTTGTTGATTCAAAATATTAGACAAGCAGCCTCTCGGCACAGATAGTTTCGTTGTTAGCAATGCACACTTCTTTTGGAGAATCGAAGATATCATCATAAAAAGAACAAATCTGCGATCGGTTCATATGAGGTAGCTTTATGTATAATATAAAAGCTATCAGCCAAAAATATCACTATTCAAGCAATAGTTTGCAAAGTAAAAACAAAGAATATATTTTTGCTGTGGTAGTAATTATCCACTCTGCTATAGTATCTCAGAATGGCACAAAGTTTTCTTAATACTGTAAATGCACTAATTGTTCACTAGGTTTTAATTTCGCTATTTCCGCTGATGAATGAAATTCACTAAATTAAATCCAAAGGAACATGTAAAAAATAATAAAACTCATTGTTTCCTTGAAAAATCAAAATGGTGAAATTAAATTTCAGTGACACTATATGGTTTTACAGTATAAAATTGTATTTATCAGTACATTTACAATGAGGGTACTAAATACCAGTGTTCAACAATACTACGCTAATACATGTTAAAAATCTGTGAGAAGTGAACAAGTTTAACAGATGCGGATAAAAATATCTGAATATGCACATTGAACATATCACATTATGAGCAATGACTAACCCTAGAATTCATAGTCTACAGTGGAATAATCTAAGTACCTATAAGATTGAGAAAGGATATACATGCATAAAATGAGTAAGATAGGGGGGATGGTTAAGCAATAACAAACAAGATGAAGCATGAGAATAAAGAATGTGTCAGTGTAATAGTATAATGTACAGCAAAGTAATGCAAACATGCAGATTAAAACCATGACAACTTACCAATGTGAAAATTATAAATCATCAGACTCCTGGTCGCATGAAAATAAAATGACTAAGAACATGCTCCTTAGCTGCATGGAAAAAAGATGCTACAAGAGTATGACTCCTTAACTGCAGAATAGTTAGAGCAAGCAGGAAATGTTTATGTAGATGAACTCAAATGTTTATATCAATGATGGACTGTATTGATCATCACGTGATGGCCAGGCACAGCTGCACATGAAGTTTGTCATTCGTCATGATAACTCAAGACTCACAAATGGGCTTCAATTTGGTATATACGACTTCAGGAATTTATAAAATATTTATAAAACCATTACCCTAGACATTTCGTGCTTGATTCTAATACTTTCACATTATGGGATTTAGGCATGTGCCGAAATTTGTAATCATTTGTGTTTGTAGAAGGATTACAGCAGTTTTGTTCACGTTAGTCATACCCATTCAGCTCATGCCGAAATCACGCCCTCATTCGTTGATCTGCTGTTTGGCCCAAACATAGAAAATGATATGCATATGATTATAATAATAATTATATCCATTTGCTGTTATGGTATTTATTATGAGTCACCATGCAATGAACAGCAAAGAAAATTTGAAAAACGATTTCAGTCCTGAGGATCTATCAGGACCAAGATCAAGTTTTTTTCAGCATGTGTCAACTCAGACCCGAACATTCACACATATGATGTATTTATTTATTTATTTATTTATTAACACACAACATTCCCAAGTCTTGGCACGTACCAAGATCTTTAACGTGAACGCCACTTTTATCTATGCATGTGCATACTTTAAGTAGGTAATTTCAAATACCAAAAAGTGGACCTTAAAAAATTATACATGAATCTGATAAATCTTCACTAAAGATGCATAAACTGCATTTTTACCCAATTTTTTCATGTTACGAATGTAGTTAGGGATGGACCATTACAATCCCAGGGAGGGGCAATGGCAGAAAAACTATGCAAAATATTTTTCTGTAACTTTTTCCTCATAGATGAATTGGCTTGTATGTTTTATTCCATGCGTGTTCATTTGGTAGCACGAGTTTATTTTGAGTCAATATTACAGGTTTACAGATTAAAAAATATGAAAAAAACCGACAATAAATGTTTTTAGCAGGATTCTAATAGAGTAAATATGGAAGAAATAGGGAGATGTGCTATATTGTGCTGTGTTACTGATGACAATGGGTTAATATAGTGGCAGCATTTTGAGTATTGATGGCCAGTGTCGCTAGCTAGTCATGTGATACAGTTAAACCTGTGATAGAATGACATATAAAGAAGGCCTGCCTATAACTATTATTTTTAGGCAGCCCCAAAGCATTAAGTATTGGCAATCTGTGTATAAACACAATCTACATAAGTGATCAACCACTGGAAAATATTTTCGCCTTTTTTTTTAAGAGACCAAAATAATAATTAGTCAATCTTATTTGATTTTGATCAACACCAATTGAAATGTGTTTTCATTGAAACAGTACCATATCTCATTTTTTTTTCTTGGCAAACAAGTCATAAATGTGAGTTGGCGATCCTTAAAAAAATAATCAAACCTACCGTACATATAAAGACCATCATTTTAATGAAGTCCCTTGGGTGATCACTATACAGAGGTTTCACTGTATATGCAAATGTATGGTAACTACAGAATGTAGCACTGGATATGGGGAATTAATTAGGTTTCAACTCACGGGAAAAGACTTCAAGCTAAAGCAGCAAATGATTGTTTTTCTTATGAAATTATCTATTCCTTTAATAACTTAATGGTAGATACATGTAGGAAAAAAATAATTTTAGCCAGTAAAAAATCATAGCCAAAGATGAAAGGAATTTGCAGTTGGTGAGGAATGAAGTGTAACCCTGCCATATCAAGATACAATGCAAGGAATATGAAATGATATCTACATGTTAATATTATTGAAAACTAGATGAATTTATTAACCTTTACAAAGTACAACATTTTGTTATAAAAACTGAAATTTGTCATTTATTCTTAACACGTTGATAAAATACTGGTATTTGTCAAAATTACCCAATAATCTTTGCAAGAAACATTGTAAACAACTATATACATATAACATATTAAGTTTCAAAAAGTATGGTAATCATTGTAAGCACATGTAAAATACAGTGAAAGGCAGAAACATGGAGAAGTAAAAAACCTTTTATTTTTATAAAGCAAAAATTTAGTTTGATTCAAATTGACCAATCCAGAAATGTTATTGTAACACAAAAGTGAGTTCTGATTAATATGATTAATATTCATTTAGAGAGCACTTTAATTTGAATATGTGAATAGTCGCAGTTGCTAAGTCATGTAAGGGCATCATGGGCATAGACAAGCATTATAGGCGTAGACAATGAGCTCCTGAACCAATCACTATCAACTTTGAATTTGAATAAAAGCTGATGATCGTTATTTACACATTTATATAAATATGTAAACTAAGTAAAGTACAGCCTTCTGCCTTTCACTGTACAAGAGTGGTGAAGCAGTAATTATGTTAGCTCTTTCATATCATACCTGCATGTCACTATATTTAACCATACAAGAGTGGTGAAGCAGTAATTATGTTAGCTCTTTCATATCATACCTGCATGTCACTATATTTAACCAAGATTTTTGAGTAAGCTTTTCAGATTTCAATGCAGATGGCGAAAATATTTCTTCTTAAAAATGCATGCAGTTTGTGATAAAATGAGGTAAGAAGCCATAGCAGACATGATGTGGCCTGGGGAAGTCAAGCAGACAACTTGAAAGTTGTACCTATATTTGCAGTGTTGCAAATTTTCTACCTGTACATATCCGATGTTTCCAATGAATTTATGAATTTTACATTTTTAAAAAATAAGTACAATTGTATTAGGTATTGAGTCAATTCAAGTAAAGAACGGTGACATTCAATCAATATTATAAACTATGATGTGAAAATTAAACTGAAGATAGAGTAAAGCATGTATGCATAATAAAAACTAAATTTAGAAGTGTTTTGTCATTTCTGGATTTCCAAAATGTTCATGTATGTTATAAGTATTCATAATATTATAAATACTTGTCATCCTCACTACAAGCATGTCATTACACATTAACCCCTTTGAATGCCATACATTTCCCTGCTATTAATTTGAAATAGATTAGGAAAAACAATTTCTATTGGTCATGAAACTAAATAAAGTTGTGAAACAACCAATTAGCGACGGCCTTAGAGTTAGATGACAATTTTGGTTTCAAATACCCCAGGTTCTATGTTATTCATGTAATTAGGTGTTCATATTGCAAGGGATTTTTCCACAGAAAAACAATGAATTCAGGCAATTTTGTTAATGGTTATCCCAACGGATTGTTTGGCTGTGAAAGATTCATAATTTTTCCTGATTTGCAGGAATCTGAAAAACACGTTTCACAACTTGTCTCATTTAGTTTCATGCTGTATTCAAGATGCCCCCCCCCCCATTTGGTAAATATCGCCTTTATTTTATTCTCACTTGTGCGCCAGATGACTGAGGGTAAATGGCTCAAAAATGATGATTTTCATGAATGTTTGACTTGCGCTTTGTGCGAAAAGTAGTTTGTAACAATGTATCTGGGTTTTGTGGACAACAGTATGGAAATCAAGAAAATCTTATTATTTGTTCAATGGTAGCAAACATCCGTAAGTATATACTCAAAGCTACATTGATTTTGAATTATTGCTTGTGAAAGAACCAGGGTTTTGGAATATGGTGATCACTTCAAACTGATCAATGATGATAATATAATAAATACCCAAATAAAATAAATATTCTCCATATGATATATCACTTAAAGTAAATTTTATTTTGATCAACTTTTAAAACACTAACATTAACATCACCATTCACAAGAAACCCCTGCATAATTGTGTGCTTATATTCTTCACCAATTTTGTTCAAGATCTATAGTCAATAAGAAATTGTAGCTAATTGATCCAAAAAAGAATCAATTGCAGAAACATTTATAAAAATGTGTGAAATTTTGTCAGGTAAATTATAAGGTTCAAAGAATTGCTGATTTGGAATTTAAATTGACCAATTTTTACAAGTGCGGGAAAAAAATTAATATTTTGTCCTCATAACCTTTCAAAAGTTGCAAAAATGGGAATCACTTATGAATTGCTATCATGATAAGCAAATCAGAACAAGCAAAATGAATTATCAAATATGGAAATCAATTGTCATATTATGATAATATACTGTCAGAGAAATTACCAAACTATTTATTTCATCAAAACTGACAACCATTAAATGGAAATGGATATGCCCAAAACTAGTTTCACATTTGTTGAGCTACAGGCAAAGTTTTGACGTAACTACAATGCTATGACCTTAATTTATTTGTTTTTTATGTTCAATTTCATAACGCAAGATCTCACAGTTAACAAAAAATGGTCTATTACTAAATTGATTTTACTCCGCCGAAGGAAAGCTTATAATATCTATACCCAAAAACATAGAACAAAACAGAAATCAGAGAATTATAGTATACCAAACAAAACTAGGCTGAAAAATTAATAGAAAAACCCAGGCTTTATAACTTTTGGTACTGCACTTTGTAAAGTCTGATGATTTGAATAAATTGTTAGAGCATGTGTCATGGAATTAATGGGAAATAGTAAACAGAATGATGTTATTGTACTTGTGTTACCTGCTTGATCTTTACCTACAATACAGTTCGAGCGAACTTAACTTCCGAACTATCACCTGGCTTTGTTTTTTGCCTGAGTACAATTGTAATCAACTTATTCTTTGTATGTTACTAATATGAGACGTATTTCGGCAGATTACAAGTAGATGGCAGTTTTGAATATAGCCAAGCTAGCTTTACACCACCTAAATGTTACGTTCCTACCACACTGTACATCACCAACACCATGCATTTTATGCAGTACATTAAAATACAATAAGCCTGTGAAGTTTTAAGACTATAAGTACATGAATGTTATCATCACAAAAAGCCTTGACCAAGCCTAACAAACAACTGAGTTGAAATTTGTTAATTGTTTGTATTCCTAGACTCTCTGAGAATAAAAACACAGGTTTCGTAAAAACTGATTGCAAAGTAAATAAATATGTTTTGGTTAGCCCTCACCAAACACACAGTTTGGAACACAATGTCCCTTTAACCATTATCCAAGTACCAAGTAATTTTACATTAACATGACCAGATAAGGGTTAAATATTTATAAAAAACTGAATTCAAATTTAATCAAATGACCAGGCCATGGTTTTATGACTACCTTTCGGTGATGGGAATTTCTCTCTTTGAGAACTTTTCGAACTTGAAGATGAAGAAGACTTTCGTGAACGAGTTCTTTTTGAAGATTTATGAGAAGATATTGATACAACAGCAGGACTTATGGGAGGGGTACTAGAGGAAACAACGGTACCAACATCTGAACTCACAGAATGGGGTTTACTTGAAACACCAGGGCTGATATCTGAACTCACAGAGTTGGGGTTACTTGAATCAAAGAACTGTACATCTGAACTCACAGAATGGGGATTATTTGAAGCAAAGAAACCAACATCTGCACTAATACATGGAGAATCGGAAGACAAAAATACACTGTCATCATCAAAACTCTGAGTGTTACCTCGATCACGGAGACGAGGAAATGAAAAACTTTGATTGTTATTATATGTACTCTCAGCAACAGTTATTGTAAAGACTTTTTTAGATGTAGTAGAAGTTTCTACCTCAGAATATTCTTCTCCTTCTTCCTCTGGGATATGTACTTCACTCACATTGCTTTTGTTTTTCTTAAATAGAGTCTTGGGTTTCTTTAGTTTTTTGCCTTTGTCCATACTGTCATTCTGAAATCAAATATGCATAGAAGGGAACAGAGCTTGATTAGGATTTAACAATTAATACATCTCCTGCCGAACCCCCCCCCCCCCCCCATTTTGGCTATCAGTGGATGATTTAAAGGATGATGCATTGTGGCCTCATGCATGAATTACATAAATGATCAAGAATATTAAATACAATAAAAGCACCTTGAGGACGGATGATGAACACCTTACAGATATACTAAATAGTAAAAATGACAAAACAATCATTGAGCTAGGAAAATTCATCCACACTTGTTTCAAATAACGACAAGAAAAAATCCTAAAATGCCAGATGCTTCAACCAATCACCAAACAATTTAATTTTTTTCTTTAAATTTAAATGTCTGAGATTGTCTTTTGTTTTTGTTGTGTTACTTTATTGTATTTTCAACTAAGATCCCACTCTGGGATATGGTTTCAATAAAAATTATTATTATTATTACATGTACATTTGTCTGTGCATATTAAAGAACACAAGTAACAAACATTAAATGGTGCCGTGCAACAATTACATTGGCCTTAGTTGCCATGAAACATTGATCTCAGTCACTATAAACATTGATCTCAATTAATCTCAGGCACTATAAACATTGATCTCAATTGATCTCAGGCACTATAAACATTGATCTCAGTCACTATAACATTGACCTCTGTCACTATAAACATTGATCTCAATTGATCTCAGGCACTATAAACATTGATCTCAATTAATCTCAGGCACTATAAACATTGATCTCAATTGATCTCAGTCACTATAAACATTGATCTCAATTGATCTCAGTCACTATAAACATTGATCTCAATTGATCTCAGTCACAATAAACATTGATCTCAGTCACTATAAACATTGATCTCAATTGATCTCAGTCACTATAAACATTGATCTCAATTAATCTCAGGCACTATAAACATTGATCACAATTAATCTCAGGCACTATAAACATTGATCACAATTAATCTCAGGCACTATAAACATTGATCTCAGTCACTATAAACATTGATCTCAGTCACTATAAAAATGGATCTCAATTGATCTCAGGCACTATAAACATTGATCTCAGTCACTATAAACATTGATCTCTGTCACTATAAACATTGATCTCTGTCACTATAAACATTGACCTGTCACTATAAACATTGACCTCTGTCACTATAAACATTGACCTCTGTCACTATAAACATTGACCTCAGTCACTATAAACATTGACCTCAGTCACTATAAACATCGATCTCTGTCACTATAAACATTGATCTCTGTCACTATAAACTTTGATCTCTGTCACTATAAACATTGATCTCTGTCACTATAAACTTTGATCTGTCACTATAAACATTGATCTCTGTCACTATAAACATTGACCTCAGTCACTATAAACATTGACCTCTGTCACTATAAACATTGATCTCTGTCACTATAAACATTGATCTCTGTCACTATAAACATTGATCTCTGTCACTATAAACATTGATCTCTGTCACTATAAACATTGATCTCTGTCACTATAAACATTGACCTCTGTCACTATAAACATTGACCTCTGTCACTATAAACATTGACCTCTGTCACTATAAACATTGATCTCTGTCACTATAAACATTGATCTCTGTCACTATAAACATTGATCTCTGTCACTATAAACATTGATCTCTGTCACTATAAACATTGATCTCTGTCACTATAAACATTGATCTCTGTCACTATAAACATTGATCTCTGTCACTATAACATTGATCTCTGTCACTATAAACATTGATCTCAGTCACTATAAACATTGATCTCTATTGCCAAAAACACTAATCTTTGTTGCCAAGAACATTGACCTGTTGCCAAGAACATGAACAATGGCATGTTTGGCATCAAAGATTGAAAGAAAAAATTGCAAGTCTTGTCATTTGGGTCAACTGTTTCAGCAGGAGAACATTGAACACAGTGAAAATCTTTGATGGAGAAATAGAATGAACTGAATTCAGTGTTCTTATGTACATTACTGCATATTATGGCTTATTGCATATTAAAATGAAAATAGGGTGAGGTTATAAATTTATACATGCCTTCATAATATTTATATGATATTTATTTATTTATACTAAAATTACCGTAAATACTATAGGCATCACTTTTGAAATGTTACCATTTTACTGGAGGGGCTCATTCGGACCGAACAGCAGTTTTGCACTAGTGGAAAAAATTTCAGCATTGCGTTAGTTGCTTTTAAGTTTTATTCAGAAAATTTTGGACTGTGTTAGTCAAGACTTTTTGATACCAGCAAAATTAAAATTGTTATATGGTAATACAGATAAATTTATTTTGATGTGGACTGTGAAATTTTGAAAACTGTATGTAGTGCTTATTTTAGAACCAAATAAAAGCCTTCCAGTCTTGTAAGATGCCTAAATTCTAATAAATACGGTAATATTATTATGACATTATTATGATATGATGATGATGAATATGCCATGAATTTTAAACCATCAAATTTGCATATATAAACAAAATGGGCACTGTTACCGTGCTTGCAGCTTTTAATTGTGATTTTCTTCCATCTTTTTTCTGTTATATTTTCAAAAAGAACAGATGAATTAAATTTGCAACACTGCTGATTAATGGTGTTAGTATTCTGTGATTAGAATTACAATAAATTGTCCAAAGTAAGACCATTTAATGATTCATATAACTACTTACCTTATTTTTAGTCAAGTCAACTTCAGAAGTGTTAAAATCAATGCCAGAATGAGGAGTAGCATCCCCAAGTTCTGTTATTTTTTGATGGAATAATTCTAACTGCACTGATAGCTTAGCTTCATCACACTGCAACAGCCCAATACTCTTAAAACATTCTCGGTATTCCCTCTGCTTTGATAAAAGCCTGAGGAAAAATGGGATGATAAACTTTATTGTCAGAGTGGAGATAATTGTTTGTGACAATACATTTATTTCTCTCTGTATACAGTGACAGAGCAAACATGTTCACTAGTAAAATATACAAGAATTTCACAAAAATATTTTTAGCGGATAGCACATAATAATTGTACAATATTTTACTCTGAAAACTCTCGACATCCCGAGATAAATCTGTGGATTACGCACCCACATATTGGGAATCAGTTCTTTTTCTATTTTTCAATGTAATGGAGCATTTATAGTGTGGAATAATTAAACTTTGGACAGTTGGATCAAAATTGAAGTCAGATTTTTATTTTATGAATGAGACATGAAGCCCAAACCACAATGGAGCTTACTACACTGGAGAATAATTCCATCAATTGAACAAACGATTGAATTGAGTGGCTGGTATTCTTGACAGTGCCATGACCAAGTTTATTTCTAAATTTAACAAATCCTGTCACAGAATTATAACACAATGGTAAACACATCTTTCAATTATTTATTTATCAATGTCTTGCCTTCCATTATAATGCAAGGTAGTGAATTTCAGAGACGAGTTTGTTCATAGAATGGTCAATCAAACTGAGATGAAAACACAATATGCTTAGTAGAGGCACAATTATATGTGACTTTTATCAGTACTGTCAAGTTCTGTTATGTGCTAATCTTTTTATTGTGACCCATTGGTCACAAATACGACTGTTGGTCAAAAATGTATCTTAAACAATAGCCTTTGTCGCATATTCAGAGAGCCGTGTGCTGACCAGTATGGTGCAGATCAGATATTACTCACTCTTGTATCATTGAATCTTGTGCTTCTGTGGGACTTATAGATTTAATCTCAACATCCAGAACCGCTAATGCGTCTTCTTTTTTCTTAATATCTTCTTTACACTTCTCGAGCAGTTCAGAAACTTCAGTACACCTGTTATTGTAGGTAAATAATTGGAAAATACAGTAATATTGCTTCACTTCCATGTACATTTTCATGAACCATATTACCAGTAAAGACAAAATACTGAAAATCTGATAAAAATTAAGGAAAAACAAAAACATGCAATTGGTGGGCGAGATTATTTGCTTACTTCTATTTCATTCTAAACACAATTAGTGCATTACCCCTCCTTACCAGCTACACAACACCACCACGCCAAACCCACCCACCCACCCACACAAGCCCAATGTTTCTGTTAAAACCCTAGATATAGTTCGAGAATAGAGTTCCTTTGGGCACCTCGCCCATAATTGTAATTCTAATCATAACCCTGCACCTCTAGTGTCTTCTCCCAATTGTAATTGCATACACCTCTTTTCCTGACATGTAAAATTATCTGGAGGGAATATACAATCACATTAGAGCGAAAGTGTTAGGGTCAGGGTTTAAGTTAAGTATGGGGGTGGTGGCTTAAGGAACCCTTTTCTTTTCGAGGTAAAACACTGACTTGTGTGTGATGTCTTCATATGTCAGATTATCCATGGCAATATCACTGGTTTTCAGGTATGCATCTGTGTAATCATCATTTACTCGATGATCAAACTCAATATTTACCCATTCCTCTGCACCCCTGTAATTAATAAATACAAAAGGACATTTAATCTGATCTGAAATAATGTGTTAATCATTGTCTGTTCCATCATGTGTACTAAAGATTGGTATACATTTGCTAACACAAGATTGACACAATGTAAGCCAGTATTGGATATGATTGGATTGGATGAGTTACTGTTAAATGTGATTGCTGACGAAAATGCTCTCACATCACCATGTATTGTTCATTAACGGTACTCTCTTATTATTCTCTAGTATCCACAAACAGTCTACTCCCATCACTCTCTAGTGTTTACGAACAGTCCCCTCACATCGTCATCTAGTGTTTAGGAACAGTGCCCTCGCATCACCATTCAGTGTTTAGGAACAGTGCCCTCACATAGTCATCTAGTGTTTATGAACAGTGCCCTCACATAGTCATCTAGTGTTCATGAACAGTGCCCTCACATCGTCATCTAGTGTTTAAGAACAGTGCCCTCACATCATCATCTTGTGTTTATGAACAGTGCCCTCACATCACCATCTAGTGTTTATGAACAGTGCCCTCACATCG